GGCCTACCAATTTTAAGTTGAATGTCCATTAGATTTTTCTTAGACACCTGTAAAAATAATTTCTATTCCCATGGCTTTTTTGTTCTCTGGGAAATTATTTTTGACGATAACTCCAGAAACAACCATGAAAATCAAAACATCAACAACAGTGATAGTAATATTAATAATAAAACAATATTCAGTGCAAAGTAGCCTACAAATGCTTTGATGGGGGCGGCAAGGGACCTGGATAACGGATAGGGGGCGCTGGCATAAAAAAAGGTTGAGAAACACTGTGATAGAGCTATAATTTCACTTATAAGAATTACTGTTAATTTACTGGAGGAAAACTGTGGGGCTCTTGTTAACCATGAACAGTGACCAGGGTTTCCCCCAGTGTATTATAAGCCTGGCGGGCCATCAGGCTTTACTTGTGTCCCCACCAGGCTAAGCATTGCTTCTTTTTTTATGTTTGCATTTTTAAGACATTAGAGTTGGCGTTCAGATAATAATCTTCCAATCTTCCAATAACACATACTCATCAAGTGATATTTTCAAATCTCCTGTCAACTTTAGACATAAAACCAGGCAGGCCGCTGAATGAAAGACTGCCCGAGCACTCAACCACCAGGCCTAGCAAGTTTTCTGGGGGAAACCTGGGTGATGTTCGTGAAGTAGCTGATCGGTAAAATTATATTTTATAAATAAACATTAATAAACAAGAGCTTTTCAGCTAGGCTAGCACGACAGCCTCCCAATAAACATTATAAAATAAAAACCAAACCGAATAAACGTCAACTCATCATTTTCACTCTAAAGTTCACCGATTTAAAAATAAAAGTATACTCACAGAGCTGCGGTATGAGCCGGTTTAAAGCGAACTGGATCCAGCACAAAATGGTTAGAAAGCTAGCCTGCTAACTGTTAGCCTAGCTCAACACTCGTCCGGTTTCCCTGTCAGAAAGCAACAGAAACAGCCAGTTGAAGGTGATAATAAACTTTACGGAAGCTCTGCGGGACATTCACACCGGCTGGCTGGAGACTGCAGCACCGAAAGGCTCTGTTAGATCAAATAAACCCCCAGATTCCAGCAGCGGGCAGGCTACACAGCTAGCTGCTCGCTAAGTTCCGCGTAGCGTCGGCAGCTAAAAGGTTGCTCCTCATTTTCTTCTTCTTCTTCTGTTGTGGAGGCGAGGAATGAGGGAGGAGAAAGGCGGACTTCCGCTAGGATCTTTTCACAGTCTCGTTTACGGGGTGCCACTTGCTGACATTTAGTCACAAAAAAATACAGCAATAATTTGGTCTATTTAGCCCGTCATTAAAATATTTTGTTTTTTAAGCTAAATATTTAGTGCTCAATCAAATGGTTAAGTCTGAGCTAACTATGTAGCTTTCAAAAATCAATATTTCGCTCTAAATTAAATATTTATTTTATGAACTAAATATTTTACTTGCTAACTAAATATTTAGCAAGAAAGCCAAATATTTTTGATGTTCCGACGTTCAAACCAATTTGTACATTTGCTAAATATTCGGCTTGTTCCTAAATATTTAGCCATGTTTAGTTTGAAAATTAAATATTTGGTTTGTAAATTCAGTGATTAGTGTGGAAAGTAAATATTTAGTTAAGAGCTAAATATTTAGTTAGAAATAAATAGGTATTTGGAAACCAAATATTTAGCTTTCTAACTAAATATTAAATTTTAAAGCTAAATATTTAGTTTGTAAACTAAATCTTTAAATTGTGACATGTATAAATTATAATTATTTTCAACGGTTTTTACTGTGTTACTCTACAAACGGCTTCCCGTAGTTTTTTGTATGAAGGATCCAACCCGAGGGAGAGAAGCTCTGACTCCCCGGCAGCTGCAAGAAAACATCCAGGTGCATATGGTGAGAGTTCATGCACTAATAAAGACATGACACAACCAGCAGGTGTTACTTTATAATAAAATTTCTCAATACAGGAAACAGGACACACACAAAAAATAAATAAATAAAAATAACATACAGAAGCTGATGTTTATGGAAACCAGCCTGTTCCTGAAACGTAACCCAGTTCAGATAAATCTGATAAAGAACCAGACAGCGCCCCTGGTGGTGGAGGTGGATTCAAACTTACAGAGAAGATGAGGAAGAAGCTAACCAGATCAATTATTCAAATAACTTTATTTGATTATATGATCAGAAAATAAAAACAAATCTCACCGAATTTTAAAACGTGAAAACATTAAAGGAGGGAGGGAGACGGAGTAATTAGCATTTTTAATGTATCTATTGTATTTAAGTTCTTTTACTAGGCCACTTTTAATGCGTGTGGATGTGAATTAATGTGTGAGCAACAGACAATCTTAATTTCCCTATGGGATTAATAAAGTTTTTTTTTTTTACCTTACCTTACCTTAAATGATCTATTGACTGAATTGAATGTCGGGTTTAATAAAACATTTTTAAAAAGCCTGATTTATGGACTCTGAACTCAGCAATCTGAGTTAACAGATATTACTGTAATATTTACAATATTTACATGTGAAGGACAGTTTTCCTGTTCTGATCTGAAGAGTTTGATACTTTGTTTTAAAAAGCTGACTGTACAGAATATACATCTGTAACTCTAAATGCAATAAAAAAGGTAATTATAAGAAAACAGATCAGCTAGCTCATCAGGGTCTGATTGTTCTCCTGTAAACTGAGTTTTTGCTTCATCTTTACAAAATCTTTTGTAACTTTCTCACTCTGATCAGCTGAGTCTATGATGGACTTTCTCAGCTTTTCATCTGACTCAGGGGTTGGAAAGAACCGAAGAGTGCTAGCAGATCAAGAATTGTTTTGCACTAAGACCAGTACAAGAGACATGCCTTTACTCTTCCACCTTTATAAGCAGAACCGGAAAATGTTCCATCTCTCTCAGAGTATAATTCGCCAGAGCTACTGATGATTCTTCCTCCAACTTTTTACGTGTTCATCATCTCTTCCAGCTTCTTTGTCAGAGGTTTGATCATCTCCATGAATCGTTTCCCTGCCCCTGAGCTTCCTGAACCTTTTTCCTCTCCATTTTTATTTTGGTTGCATTTGTTCCAACATCAGAAGCTGCACCTAAAGATCCACCTGCAGCTCCAAGGGTCAAACAGCTGAATGAATGAAGATGCATCCGCTATCAGTTTATTCATCAGCTCACACAGATGAGGTGGAAGCTCTTTGCGCCATCTTCTTCGTGGGTTTAAGGCCATTTCCTGCGGTTGTGTTTTCTTTGAGGGCGTTGGGGTTAGTCTGCGGTTCACCTCACCCCGGCAGAAACAGATGAAATTTGAAGCAACTGAATGAACTGGAGAGTTGGTAACGCTGCGCTGATGGAGGAAGGCCACACTGGGAACCTGTCCACACCTGCAGTTATAGTTGGGATTATGACTTTCTGTCTTGATAAATCAAAGTCCTGCTTTTGAACATTTTTCAGCACTTTCTGACAATTAACTGTCACTCCAGAAATCTGTTTTGTTCACTCAGTTCTAATGAATCTTTTGACACTAGTGGCTTGTATTTAAATACCCCTAAAGCTGCGTCAGGCCTCTGTGTCCAGGTCGCACGCTCCATCCACTACGCCACACGACGTCCTGACTGAAAGACAGTCTTTACCTTTTATCATGAGGAATCTGGGTACCAACATTTCTGGCTCAATATTGTAACTCTTAACTAGAAGATTTCTGGAGAAATGTAAAAGGGGTCTGCCAAAGTGTGCTTGTCAGTCAGAGAAAAAACTTTTGTAACTGCCCAGTGTTCAGGTGAAACCCAGAGTACGTTTACTGCAAGGACACGAAGAAAGAAACCAGAGTGTCCAAGCTGGGTCAGATAACCGAACAGTGTGTTCTCACCATAATACCAGAATGGATCAGCATAGCATGAAGATGCTGGCATCGGCCCCAGATGTAACGTTATCACTGAATGAGCAGCAAGATGAAGACAAAGGTGTGATTATTTCTGAGACATGAACAGTTTCCTGCAGGAGGAGAAGTCGTTCCTGGTGTGAGGGAGCAGAGCAGGTGGTGCAGTCACACGGAGCGCAAGCATGAAGTCACATGTTGATGATCTTGGCTCTAAGGGAAACCCGTATAACCCACAGGGAGTAATGAGGGCCAGGAGATCAAATGAAGCAGAGGAGTACATTTTCACCAAAACTCTGATTCTGAGATTAATTTAACATTTTGACAAGAAAAACCTTGGTTGTTCTCTGTCAAAAAGTTGTAAATTTGCAAGAAAAAAAGTTTTAATTCTCTGATTAACAGTACAAGTAAATAAATGTTAAAAGTGAGACCTTCAGTCAGATTTTAAAATCAGACATTTGCAACACATTTGCATCAGCAGCAACATGGCTGCTGATGCAGCTTCTTCCTCAGGATCATTCTGGATCCTTCAAGGCGTCAGATACAAATATGATGAAAAGTCACATTTCTTCTAATTCTTACTGGATATATGTTTTTGTTGTTTATTTTTCAGGGTGTTTCATAAACATGCAGCCATGTTGGATTTTGATTTAAAACTTCAGATTTTCCCACCTGGAATGCTGTTTTCCAGGGACATTTGTGTTAATCTGCAGAATGAAATCCTCCAATGAGTCAGAGCCAAGCTGGATTCACTTTAATGATTTAATATCTAACTCAGTAATTACATATCAAATGTTGTCACACCAACAAAGCAGCCGCTACTATCTTAAGTTATTGTCAGTGAGGAAGAGGAGCTGCTGCTGTGGCCGAAGGCTGGTCGTCTGAGCATGCTCAGATGGTGTTTCGCAGACACAGCTGGGTTTTATCGAGTGCCGTGTTCATGGAGCAGCCATGAAACATTCCTCCCAGCCGCATCTGGCGGGTGAAGCTCTGGGTCTTGGGGTGGTAGCTGCAGGGGGCGCTCTCAAAGCTGGGAGGAAGCCGGCCGTAGTCGCCTGACGTGGTTCTGTACAGGACGCTCTGGGGATGGATCTTCCCCAGGGTCCCTTCCTTCACCTTCGAGCTGATGATGCAGGAGAAAACTGGGTTTCCAGGGTTGCTGCATGACCTTACATGTTCTGCTTCCTGAGGAAGTGACATCACTGCTGAGCCTGGAAATCATTCACAAACTCTGCTTTAAAACCTTGCCAGTCTCTTTGTTGATCAATTTTTAATCTTCATTTTATTAAACTTTTGGTAAAATGTTCACCCTTTGACCCAAACTATTTTTAGCCCCTTTGGTAGAATAAAAATAATCCAGAAGGAAATATTTTTAAAAGCTTAACTGAACAATCCAGACCTGTACAGCTAGAGGTCTGACTGTTGGCATCTAAATAATAACTAAAGGTGGAGAAAATGTGGGGTGGAGTTTGCATCTCAGAGATATTTGAAGTTTCGGCTTCTAGAAAAGAAAGTTTCTTTAACTGCCAAAAAAACTAAGTGCACCCTTGTTGCTTCCACCAGCTCTGCTGAATCAGTTTTAAGGTTCAGATAGTTGCTATGATGCGAACCGCGGAAACAACGTATTGTTTTTACAACTGATTAGCATCTGAAAATCTCAAGTAATCCCTGAACTTTGACCCCAAATCCCAGGGGAGCTGAAAAGGCTTCGTGGATGCGGAGAGAGAAGGAAGTTCAAATCTCTTCCCTGACTCCAGCGTCTCTCTGCTCGGCTGTCTGACCGTAAATGTTAAGGCGGTGAACATCTCCATCCATTTAACTCAATCAGCAGCAGTACAAAGTTTGTAGATCCTGTTTTGTTACAGATTTTAGATAAAAAGCTTCTATTCCCTTTTTGTCAAAAGCTCTTCAGCGTAAAACAGAGCAGGAAGTGGTGGTAAGCTAACTTCCTGTCGGCCGAAACTGGAACATTTTCCATGATAACTCCAGTAAAAGCCTCCAGTCTAACCAGTTCACCAGTTACCTCTGAGTCCTGTTGGACAGCCGCGTCGTCTGGACTTTGCTTGCGTCTTTCAGTCGCTTGAGAAAGCGAGGCGTCTGGTTTCCATGGAAACAGAAGACAGCTAATCCGGACCATTCTTTTTTTTTTATGTGTATGTTTAATTTAAAGGGTTAGAGATATAATAATAATAATAATAATAATAATAATAATAATAATAATAATAATAATAATAATAATAATGTGTGGAAGCACAATATAATAAAAGTTCTAACGCTCCTAACCCTTAAGAAACAGGAAAGTAAACAGCAAAGGCGCTTAGGTTAAAG